CATGTGCCGACTGCTCAGCAGTTCGCTGATGTGATGACGAAGGGATTGCCGACTTCCACCTTTGAGGAGTTTCGTTCCAGTCTCTGCGTCACTGGCGCCGCTTCGACTGCGGGGGGGTGTTGAGTATATTGTGTACGTGTATATGTGTGTGTAGGGCCCACCTCCTGTTTTCCTTGTATAGTTGAGGTTGTGGCCCACCTCTGTACTTATATATACGTGCCTGGTGCACCGATCAATATATCGCGATTACACAGCCATAACTTGTCCTTCTACAGACGCCCATGAACACCAGCAGCCCCGTCATCGGCCGTGCGCGGTGCGGCATCTCTCCTCCGCCCGTCCCTTCTCGCCGCCGTTCCGTTCAGGGGAGAGCTCTCCGCTGCCACTAGCCGATGCGATGCGACGCGAGAAGAGGAGGCAGCGCTTACAGGTGGGGCCGAATCGTATAAACCGAACCAAACCATTTGATCTTTGACCAGTCACCGGTCCGATAATATCTTTCGACAGAAAGATATATTTTCTTGTCTTTTTTAGGGGAAATATATTTTCTTTATTCCAGAGGAAAGAAAGATATATGTTCGAAAATGTTAATGAGGGAATGTCTTGTCTTGTGTGAATGGTTTTTTTTAAAAACGCTCTCTGATGCATCACATGCACAAATCTCAAAGCGGAGACACTATAAATTTTTGCGGCACATATTCGTTGTCATGAACCCTTTTTTTTTGCGAGGGCGTTGTCATGAACCCTTACACATGTACTCCCTCCGTTTGGATTTACTTGTCACAGAAATGGATGTATCTAGACATATTTTAGTTCTAGATACATCCATTTTCGAGACAAGTAATTTCGAACGGAGGGAGTATTTAATCGCATAATACATCGTTCCTGGTGAATGTGCTTACTTTTTTTAGAGAAAAATGAACGTGCTTACTTATGACGTAGCATTGCAAATTTTCTGTGTAGCATGGCAATTCTTGGAAATGTGGGTATCTTTCTCTTTTACTTAGCAATGCCAATCGTCTTCGCTACAGCATGGCAATCCCTTGAAACGCATGGCGATTTATTTACTATATTATGATAAAAGAAACTGCTATAGCATGGCAATTTTTTCTTTTTAGCATAACAAATCTCTCTATTATAGCATGACAAATATATCTCTATTGTTGCCAGGCATGAATGTTCTCTAGGCATGTTTTTTGAGGGAACGCTCTCTGGTGGCTTCGTTTACTCAAATGAGCCTCTCCGAGGGAACATTTGTTCGCGGAAGGGATCTATCATCTGATTGATTTTTCATCTACTATGTAACTTGATATTTTTTTTCTTTAGCAATTTCTTTATGGCTAGTTTTATTTCAAATCAAGAAGACATACATCATCAATGGCCAAAGCTAAAATAGAATCGGGTGGGTTCTCCTTTCACAGATTCGGGGGATGAACCCTTACCAAGCTAGCTAGTTCATGAGCTACATGGTTGGTATAACAAGGACATTGCTCAAAAATGACTCGATGAAATTATCCATGGAAACCAAATCATTGTCAATAATACCTGTCGCGGAGGTTGGTAATCTTGAACCATGGTTCATCATGTCAATAAGCTCTAGACGATCAGAGTGCACCATCGGATGTTGAATACACAGGTTTAGGCCCGTCTTCAACAACATGGCCTCAACCACTGAGGCATCAGTTGTGGGAACCCGTAATTATTTGCCGCGACAACCCCCCGGTCCCTTCACCAGGAATGACCAGAACTATCTCCATGCGAGAAGAAGCATCCACATTTAGTTTTACCATACCCGCTGGCGTTCCCACCCAACAAGTTTCTTCTGTTAGAACTGCTACAATGCACCCAACACAAGCATAATTCAGGGTTGCTCCATAAACAAATATGGCGCCTTATCAAAAAATGAATTCCTCCAACATACTCGATCCGGCCTTGTCATAGAGCAGTGCCTTGTCTATTTTTCTGTGAATGCCCACTCCCTTTTGTGTGTTCTTTGTTCTTGGGCATTCAAACAAAAGCATGGCAGATATCTTCCCTTCCCACAAACATCTCATGTTGGGGAGACTTTAATATGGCCATTGTTTTGGATCTTTCTACATAGAATGGCTTCATGCATGACGCATCACACAATTTTTGATTGTAGCCAGAATTTCAGTTTCCATAGTTTCTTCCACATAAGGTTCACAACAGATCCACTTTGACCGGAAAAAACGTCTGATTTTTCACCAGGCTGGGAATCTCATTTGAGGTGATATGGCGATCGGGCTGAGAATGTATTTGAATAGGTGTAATGTCATGCCACGGAGTCATTCATCTCACCGCTAGGTAGTGGGTTTGAAGGATTATGTTCACATCCACTTCCGAGAAGTTGTCATGGATCAGTTCCTCGTCCTACCAGTCCATATGTGGGTCAGTCAACTCATGTACCATACTCAGGGTTCTTGCACCTCTTACATTACAACTTTTACTAGATGGAATCCAAGGGTCATCCCAAATAAGAATGCTAGCTCCGATTTGTTAGAATAAATTGTATAGGGTTAGGAAACATGTTTAACCTTTAACCTCTCTCTATCTCTGCTTCTCTCGTATCCCTCTTTGTAACGATCTCACGATCGATCTCTCCTTCTTGTATGCCAAGGCTTTTGCTCAATATATATTAATGCGGCCTGGGACAAAGGGTTCAACGCTTCCCATATCATTTGACACGGTTCCCACTCTCCTAATGCAACCCTGTTTGAAAGTTTGAATGTTTGTCCAAATACTCTGTCAAGCATATGAATAACTCATGCCACAAAGAGATTGACCATTTTCAACATAGTTTCACCAAGAGGGCTTTGTTAAAGTTGAGCATATCCTGAAAATCCATTCCTCCCATCTACTTAAGCGCACACATCTTACGCCATGCGAACCAATGCATCTTTTGTTGATGGTGATCAAGACCGCCCCACCAATAGCGCGAATTTGTATTTGCAATGCCCTTGCAAACCTGTTTTGGGAGTTGAAGCACTAGAACTACTATAAAAACATGATGCCGGTTAGTTGGGGAAAAAAATTGGTGGCAACGTTTTCTAGTGAAAGCTCCCAATCGGTGAAAAATCTAAAAGCTTCATTCGTCAAACGTCGGGTATTGAACGAATGGACCATATTGGAAGTGGGATGGCACCTAGCGCTTCGTTTGCTAACTTCCCAGCGAATTTCATCAAGCTCACAATTTTAATTAGGGAGCGAGATATTGGGATCACGACCAAAAGCTTTGCACAATTTAAAAAAAGATCAGTTTTGCTAAAGCACATCTAGATGTGCCATAAGTATTGCACATCTAAGTCATATGTCATTGATCGTACATTGAGATTCGTGTGAATATTTTCTTTTTTTTTCTTTTTCTCTTTATGCTTGATTCACTCACTTAGATGTGCAATAACTAAAGCACATCTAGATGTGCCCTAGACACACCTTTAAAAGATAGCTCGGACTAATATATGTAAGCAATTTTAAGCCACACAGATTTAGAAAGTCGTCTGGCATGATGGTGAGGTGCCCTTGTAATTAGTAGCTTGGTCTTGAGCTTGTTCCAAAAGTCAACATGGTTTTTGCAAAATTCTTTTAAAATGCCAGATTTTGAATTTTGCCAAAAGTCCTTGAAATGTTTGATGAGTTTTGTGCAATTTCAAGAAGAAAAAAAAACATGAATTTCAGTTACCAAAGAAGTTGAGAAACAAAATGTCATTCCGTTGGGCATGTGTTACGTAGTAGTGAAATAGCAATCAGAAGTTCAACAAGATCTGTCAAAAGTATCCAAATGACAGTAAAAAGAAGAAAACTAGTTGTGAATTTGTATGGTTAATACGGGTTAGGATCCTCTACGGTACCCTCGCAAAAAGAAAAAAATCCTTTGCGGTAGCCCGATTAATACTACTACCTTCATTCGTAACGTTGGGGAGTGCAAATTGAACTCCCCAAACGTCATATATTTAGGAACCGAGGGAGTTGTTGTTAAAAAGATCATACAAGAAATAAGTACTCCCTCCGTTTCTAAATATTTGTCTTTCTAGACATTTCAAATGACTACTACATACGGATGTATGTAGACATATTTTAGAGTGTAGATTCACTTATTTTGTTCCGTATGTAGTCACTTGTTGAAATGCCTAGAAAGACAAGTATTTAGGAACGGAGGGAGTAGTTGTTAAAATTCTTATCTGCCCTTTTCTAAGTTGAAAAAGAAAGGCCCAGGATATACCACTGGGTGGAATGGAGCATCATTTCCATTTCACTAGGGCCGCGGCTTGCTTCGATTGCGCATGCCTAAACTAAACTCAAGAGAAAGCCAACGCTTTTTGTCCGACTCGCGACACCATCATCCCCTTCTCTTCTCACCCATTGATTTCCGCTCGAGCATGGATGCACTGGCTGGTCACACCACCGTGTCCCCTTTCCATGCTCCGGGTCAATGTTTTGTACCACCACACCGTCCGGAAGAGAACAAAAGGCCACAGTTCACTTGGAAAAAAAGGACTAGAAAAGCTATGCACCTTTGTTCCCCTAAAGAAAACAATAAAACATGCACGTTTTACTTCACGACCGTTCCGTTCCAAGGGAAAACAAAACACTTCAAGTATAAAAGACATGCAATGAATTTCACATGACATTGAAGGAAATTCCACACGATAGATGAATGAAACGAAAGAGTTACAAATCTCAATGATAGATGTGATCGATGCCTCACAAATTAGCCAGACTTGACGTTAGTTGGCGCTAATCCGCTTTCTACTATCTCTGCTAAACCGACTCCTTCCATCAGAGTTCTAACGCTTCCATCCCCAACCTAAAATCTAAAATCACCTACGTTTTAGTAGTAGTCCATTCTAATCTGGGATCAACCAAGCAAGCAAAAGGAAACGGTACTGCTACTGCTACTGCTAGAGCACTGGTGCTGAGTGACGATGCTGCTGTCAGTGGCACCCCGGTTGAGCTGAGCTGAGCTGAGCTGAGCTGATAGTTCAGAGGCCCAGCAGTATGTAGTAGACCAGTGTGATGGGGAGGGCGATGAGCATCCCGAAGATCACGCTGCATCAAAGCATAGTTTCATCATCATGTCAGGAATCAAAAGATCATAGTATACCACCATCTCAATGAATCAATGTTATGATATAAAGTAGACGCAGCAACATGTCAAATTCCAAGGGAATCAAATCGATGTTGCACGATGATGATGATGATGAGTAGGATAGGAATCATGAAAAGCTACAAGGTTGTGTTTTCTCTGACTTGAGTTTATGATGCTCTCCAGTTACAACAAGAGAAAAGATGGGAATGGTTTTTGAAAGCTTTCCTTTCTAAAATTGATAACAGTAGCACAGCAAGAAAGATGCTAGAGGTGTGTTAAGATATCATACGCCGTGCTGAGAATGTTGGGGTGGACGTTGTACTCCTTGGCGAACACGAAGGGCACGATTCCTTGTGGCAGAGCAGCCTGCGATGCAAATTCAATTCATATGGTCACTACATTTTCTCTAGCTGAGTTCCAAAACAAGATCCTCAACCGGGATGTAATGTACTACCTGAACAATGGCGATGTGCAGAAGAACCCCGCGCAACCCAACAGCCAGAGAGGCGGCGGCCATCATCGCCGGACCCACCAGGAACCTCACAGCCATCGCGTAGGCCGCCAGCTTGTTCCCGCAGGCGATGATCCGGGGCTGCAACGCCATGAACAACCCTGCATTGCACAAAACATGAGCACGGCTGGGTTTGTGCAACAGTTTTACAGGAAAAGTGAGGAGTCAGAGCTGTGCAAACCTAGGCTGAACATGGCCATCCCAAGCCCTGCATCCGACAGGATCGAAATCGACTTGGCGATGATCGCCGGCATCTCGATCCCCCACCTGAAGTTGCCGCAATGCAGTTCACAAGATCAATCAGCAGATCAAATGTGGAGTGACTGATGAACAAACAAAATGTTTTTGTTCAGAACCAACGGTGAGATTAACTACCTGTAGGAGACGAGGGACCAGACGACGCCGATGAGGCTGGAGTAGGTGTTCGGGTTCCTGATCAGCTTCCTCCACACCATGATCAGGATGAGCCTCGTCATCACGCTCGCCGGCGGCATCGCGGCGGCCCTCTCCTCGCCGTCGTCCTTGGGGTGCAGCTGCGCGGTCGAGTTGGACCCCAGCTTGGCCAGCGTCGGGCCGTCCACGTTCGCCACGCCGCCGTTCTTGTTCCTGAAGCTGAAGTCGTCGCCGCCGCCGCGGCCGTACTCGTCGTAGGCCTGGGCACCTGAAACCATACGATCCAGACCGTTGGTTCGTCGATCGGACGGCCGAAAACAAACAAACTGCTAGTAGTAACCTCTATATGAAAGGAGAGAGAAGAAGCTACCTTTGGCGAGGACGTCGCCGTGGTCGGCGCCACCGCCGAAGACATGCATGGCGCCGCCTGCAGCGCGCTCAGAGACCGGCGAGGCGCTGGAGCTCCAGACGAACATGTGCAGGTCCTTGCGCTTCCCGGCCAATGCCTGCGGCAGCGGCTGAGGCGAGTGGCCGCCCGTGCCGTTGCCAGCGCCAGCGCCGGCGGAGCCCTTCTCCTCGTCCCCCTTGGCGCCGCCGACGATGTTGAAGAACTCGGCGTGGTTGAAGCTGGAGCCCCTCGGCGTGGGGTTCCTGGACGACTGCAGCGAGTATATCTCGACGCCGGAGAGGTTGGAGACGCGCGGCTGCATGGACTGCGAGTGGGAGTGTGAGTGCGAGTGGGAGCAGGCGGCCTCGGAGCGCGAGCTGGTGGACTTGCGCACGGTGACCCGCATCCTGCCGTCCTCCCCGACCTCGGCCTCCGCCTGCAGATCGGCGCCGCCGCCGGCGGCCAGGGAGACGACGTCGGAGTCGACGCGGAAGGAGACGATGTCGGCGGCGGTGTCGGGGAACTGCTCCATGACGAGCATCTTGGCGCCGCGGTACTCGAAGAGGAAGAGCATGAGGGTGTACCAGATGATGCACTGGAGCACAACGATCTGCACCATGAGGGTGCCGGCGCTGGCGGGGCCGTACATGCCCCGGAGCAGCGGGATGCCCATGACGAGCGTGTTGGGGAGCGTGGAGAGGGAGAAGAGGGTGATGAGCCAGTCGAGGGAGCCGTTGCGGAGGCGGCACCAGAGGGCGAGGAGCGCGAGGACGGCGAGCTTCTGGAGCGTGTCGGCGGCGAGGAAGCGGAGGTTCATGGCGAAGGGGTCGTTGGAGGAGATGAAGTGGAAGGAGAGGAGCGGGACGGCGAAGAGCGCGACGAAGCGGTTGATCCCGGAGCACTGGTCGGGCGTGAAGATGCGCCACCAGCGCACGGAGCCGTAGGCGAGCGTCATGGCGACGTAGAGCGGCACGACGGCCGTGAGCACGTGGTAGAGATCCGCCGCGGTGATCATGGCCGCGCGCAATGCGGAGCCAAGAAACGGTGCGTGGTCAAGGCAGGTGGGTCAAGCGGAGGGGGACGGTTCAAGTAAAAAAAG